GTTTGTCAGATGGCAGCTTTAAAGATAACATGCAGGTTCAAAATTCTTAAAAATGTAATATTTTCCACCTGAAGACACATTTTATTCCATCTGTAAGGCACTGTCCCAGATTTATTAAAAGAAAAAAGGGTTGACTGTGCATTAAAAGGCAAAACAAAACTCACTCCGCTCAACTCAATGAGTTCTGTCAACTTTGTCCCAAACAATTGAGTCCTAGGACTTTATTTGGCTTGTATTTATGCACACGTGTGCAAACCTTTCTGCTGCATTTCACCGTGTCGGTGCACATTTAGTCCCTGCTCTGTTTGTTTTCAGCTCCACTTAGTGGAAACCTGTTAAGTCATCTGCTTGGGACCATTTATTTAAGGAGAATAATTGGTCAACATGGGGAAAAGGAAGAGCTGATAAAGTTAATTTGTATTAGATGTAAAATCTGTTTGTGTTCAGACTAATAAATGCAATGCATCTCTGAAAAATATCAATATATCAAAACATAAATAAAAACACGAGTGGTCTAAGAAACCTACCTCTGGTGAATTTAAACCAATCCTGTTGCAGATGCACAAATGCTAAACTTTACATTTTAGAAACTCAATGAGACCATTTTTAGTTCATTTACAACTCAATCACCAAAAACCATCCTGGAGTCGACAGAGTTGCTGGTAGATTTATAGAGGAATAATCACTGGAGGCCTCCTAGTGACGTAAACATAACCTGCCATCATTCTGACACAGCCCTAAAATAAAATCCCTCCAGCAGATGTCCTCACACACACAGTAATGGACCCTGCTCATGTCCTCAGAACCCATTTCGTTTTCAAGGAGCTTAAATGTCTTTCTGTTTAACTGAGTGAATCAGACACTTTCCCCTCTTATCACCTGAATCAGAAACACTGGATTTTTTCCAATAGTTAACTAAAAAGAATACTTTCTTATGACCACAAAGTAAATCAGAAGGAGAGCCTACGATGAATAGAATACATCAGAAAAAGGGTTTGCCAAAAGGTTTGAAAGACAGTTTGATGTGATGGAGGAAAGGATTTTATCAGCCTCGAGGCCTTTTCCGATTGATTTCTTTAATTCATCTGTGTTTCCGAGGCATTCAGTCAAATTCAAACTCCAGCAGTGTGCCGCCACGATCCCCACAAAAGAGATCCCTGACACTCAGGCGCGGGTCGCTCTGGCCTGGGGCCGGAATTCCAGCGAGGAGGCAGGAAACTGGAGATGCCCCGGGAGAGGGAGAGGTGTTTTCTGACCGCTGTTGTCTTTGTGGCCACCTCAGGAATGTCCCGCATCTGCACCGTTTGGGGACGATTAGATGCCCCCCCCCCCCCCCTCAACCCCCCCCAGGCTGGGTTTACCTTCTCAGATATAGAGCAAGCTTTCAATTATAGAAAAACATGCACATTTGTTATGTTTCCTGATCCTGATTTCGAAATAAGACGCTGAGCATTTAGTCCATTTTGTCGTTTTGACTGTTTCCTGTGTAATTTACCTCTCCATTAACAACTCAAGTTCTTCATTAATCAATTAAGTCCTTACTAAAGATTATCTTTCTGTTTTAAAGCAGTGAGCGAAATGTCTATTTATCCGGGACTGAATGAAGTAAAAGGAAGTCTGAGGATTGGAATAACTTTGAAAGGGGTCAAATGGTGGTAAATGTGAGGGACAGGGTTTAAAACCTCACCATCTTACATGTGGCCTGTTATGTTTATGTGGACTCTTACCTGAGAAAGCGGCGGCACGGAGATGAACTGCGAGACGGAGGAGAGCCGGGGGGAGAGGGGGGGGGGGATGGTAGGTACCTCAGCGCCACGCATCTCTCTGAAAACACTCTTCCTGGATGGAAAGGGGCGCTCGCTTTGCTGCAAAAGCGGCTCAGAAATATGCCGAGGAAGATGAGTTACGGGGCTCCGCGTGTTGACTTAGCCTCCAAAGTCTGCAGATCGCAATTTGCCTGAACCCCCGTGGTATGTGTTGGGAAAACAAGCCTAAACCGTGAAGGCCCCCGTCCCACAGCCTGTGCGAGGAGCTGAGTGCGGGATAACAGGCCGCTGTTTTTCTGAACCTGAGAGCAGTTAGCTCGTGCTGGACGGGATTTCATGTGGATTCGGGGCGACCAAAACAGAGAAAATATCCAGGTGGATTTGCGGGTGTTTGGAGGGACTACACCTGTGAGAACAGCAGCTGGAGTAGACCCTGTCACCAAATCAGGGCAAAAAAAAAAGAAGTGATGCTTCCGATTGAAAATCGGCAGAATTCAGAATTACAAACCTGAGGCTGTGTCATATTTTAGTTGAACAAAACGACAAAATGGACCAAAATCAGGCTATCTTCGATCTATCTGGGAATGGAGCGGGTCAAAACACAAACTAAACGATGAGTGTTTCGACACAGATTGAAGATAGATTCACCTATGAACACTAAACCAACAATGATGAATCAAACATCATGGTTACTCTTCAAATAGGTTCCATTTATTACAAAATCTTACATATAGCCTCATCTTTATTTTGCTTTCAGCAGCATTCTTTAGCAGTACGTCTCTGGATGGCTTTTGCTGCAGTTTATTAATATCAGTGTGAAGTTCGTCTACTCAAACGAACTGAATATAAAGCGTCTCTGGCCCCGACAAGGCCTGACACACACACACACACACACACACACACACACACACACATCCACTCTGCAGCATTAAACGCTAACAGGCTCCATCTGAAGGGATCAGCAGCTGAAAATAGTCCCTGGAAACACAGAAAAAGGCTCCTCGGCCCTGTGATTATGATCGATGTGCCGGCGGCGCCCTGCTTCTTTCTGATCTTCTGCAGGAACTCGTCTCTCCTGTCTTCCAGCCTCGGATTATTTAAACGTCGAAGGAGCGAATCGAACGGTTTGGGAAGAAAGCCCGTTTGTTTGGTCTCTCCTTTCACACTTCACTGATCAGCCTCTAAACTAAAACGTCGTTACCACCCTGTGGGGAAATGTTGCATCCTCACGCAGACGTCACTCCAGGATGTCCCACCTGTCTAAACATTTTTCCAGAGCTCATTTGTATAGAAGCCTCAGCTCCCAATCGGCCGGCCGACTTTAATAACTAACAAATGTTTGGAAAAAGATGGACCCACCTTTCGTCCTAAGCATCGGACTCGTGGCCTTAATTTCAGTAATTGTGTTTAACAGTGAGCTAAAAACTGAAAACACTGAAAACTCTCCTTATTCAACCCACTTTAAACACATTTCCATCTCTGTTTGGACTGCGCTTGGTTTGTTGAGCTCGTTGTTGCGCAGCACTCTGGTCATAAATGGATGGGTCAATTTCAGTCAGGTGGTCATAATGTTACGGCTGGTCAAAGTTTCAAGAGATACAGAGTTCGTAAACGAGGGATGTAAAACTATCAGAGGGCAGTCCGAAGCCAGATTACGACTGAGGCTTTTCGACGGCAGCAAACTGGAGAAAATTCTAACTCAGAATGAGGACGTTGGCAAAAAGAATCCAACAAAAAAATGCCTCCGAGGTGCTTTATGGGAAATTTTGGCTTATGTTTGTCGAGACGTGTTATCGTAGAAATTAAAAAAGTCAAAGAGGCAAAAAGGTAAGTGATGAAAAGTACCACCCCCCCTCCTCCTCCTCCTCTTCCTGTTCCTCCTGCCTGCTCAGGCCTGCAGAAGCTGTCCCACCAGGGCCGGGCTCCTTCCCTGGATCAGGGCTGAGGCGATCTCAGCGGCCCTCAGCACTGACCTCTCCCACCGTTCGGCGTCCTGGGAGAAAGACAAAAGGAAAAAGAGGCGTTCAGGTTGTTAGAGGACGAAAAACTGCAGAAAGAACAGGAAGAAAAACCTGCTGATCTCCTCAAACAATCGCCTTTCTCTTTCCTACCTCCAACAATTCAGAGGGGTATCAAAGCCTACTTTTGACTTAAAGCTGCACGAAAGAAAAAAAAAAGGTGCCGAATAAAGTCTCCAGCAGTTAGCGGCGGCGTTAGCGGCCTAAATCTGGCGGCGAGAGCCCCGAATTCCACCCGGGGGACTTTCCTGACCTGCAGTTCAGCCCGGTCCAATCGACACCAGGAAGCAATTTTCCGAAGGAGCAAAACAAAAAAAGGGAGACGAATTAAAGCACTCCCGAATTTGGGTTCGTTTAAACTCCTCTGAAGCTCGTTTGGCCCCCTTTGAAACTTATAGTGCATGATATTGGACAGATCTGCTCGAAAACCGCATGTTGAGGCAAAACAAGGGCTGCGCATTTGATTTTCTCAGATGGGGCTCCACTGTTGTGGTCGTTTTGCTTTGGAGATTTTTCTCCTCCGGGGCCCTTTCTTTCTCCGTTCTCTTCCCCTGCGGACCGACGGCAAAATGCACTTTTAATAGTTTTCACTCCCCTGACTTCTTCCCTCAGTCTGCGAGCTTTGATTTCGTCTCTTGAAGCGGCCCCACAGCGAGCTGTTTTCCATTTGTTTTCAAAGTAAACGCAGTCGCGGGAGCTTCGCTTCGGCCTGATTTATGCTTCATGCTCTACCTGCAGAATTTCATAAAAGCATTGTGGGATTACGAAGACTTTTGATGTAGCGCGACGCCAAGGGGATGAAATATACTTGTAAAAAAATATTTTATCGCTCGAAACTAGCAAAGATTAAATACTGAGTATTTAATCAGAGTAATAAAAGTGAAGGGGTCGGGGACAGATTTTAGTTGGGGTTTTAATCATGATTAAAGATGCTGGAACATTCAATTTGACCTCTGCTGCCAATAATTTGATGAACGTTTGTCACTGTGACAACATAAATGTGCATTTTGGTTCCGTTTCTGCACCCTGTGGTTAGTGGGCCTTAGTGGGATTTATACAGAAATAAGAAGTATTCTGCTCATAAGAAAATGAGCCCATAACACCGATTAAATCTCACCTCTCCTCCCTCCTGTCTTCCACCTTTGTTCACTAAACCATTAAATCAAAAACAAAAACAAAAAAAACAAACACACTAAATTATATATAACTGAGAATATCGACAGACTTGCAATCTGTTTGACTGAGTTTGTTAAATCCTTTCATTAAAGTAATGGTTGGCTCCGTCTTCCCTTCATTAAACTGACCTTCCCACTCCCAAATAGCTTTCAAGCCTAATGTGGAAAACAGGAAATTGCCCAAAACAATGAGATCTAATACACATCTGACAAAATACGGTCTTAGCTAAATGAGGCTTAAGTTTGCCACGCAGTCACTGACATGTAGATTTTTCTTCGATTTTCGACGATCGAACTCGACGTCCGGAAAAGCCGACTGGTTTTGATGACATTTTTGTTTGATGAAAATCGACCAATGGGAAGACGTTTCATTGGCTGTTTTGGTTCCATCTTCAGATTTCCGTGTTAAGCTTTCCCCCTCTCGTCCTTTTTTGACCCCGCTGCCAAAGCCCGGGGGCCGACCCACTGGCTTAGAGGATGGGACTTGGGACGGGGGGTGGGAAGAGGTGTGGGAGCGATGAGCGTGGAATCGTGTCTGACCGTGGTTAATGGGAGCAAGAGACCCGGGAACCAATACTCCTGGAGGAGTATTTTCCCTAATCAGCACCAGCCGAGGCGGAATCTGATGACAAGGGTTTTCCAAACGGACAGACTGAGAGGGGAACCGAGGACCTTCATCTGCACACATTAGTCTCTTGATCGGTAAAGGAGATCCTTCTTGCGTTCGGGTGAGCCCCACATGCAGGGCGAGCTCCAACAGAAGCCCGGCGTCTTTCAAGGAAACCCGGGAATTCCACAAACCTGAAACCGGAAGCGGCTCCGAACCACGACAGGTCATTTTGACTTCCCGTTTCGCACCTTTTCAGCTTCAATTCCCCGAAGCCGCTCCGACGGAATACGCCTACGGATCGTTTCCTTTCAGGATCCCGGGAGGAGTTTGTGCACAAAACGTCCGGCTTTATGACGACATGGCACCGAGAAAACCTGCAGCGGAGGGCCTCACGACACGCAGCCGTCATTCCGTAGGCGGCTAATATTTAAGAGGATTCCGGCTAATTTGACCAAAAGGCTGGATTAGTGCCAAAGGCCCAAATATAAGCAGATCAGCGAGTTAAAGTGTAGTTAAAGTTAAAGTGTGGATTTGAATGTTGCTGTGAATCCTCCCTGTGGGACCTCTCACCCATTTTTCAAATGAAACTATTGATGAGATTTAGGGGGAACCATTATTATCTCATGAATAGGATTTGAAATAGATGGCAAAAGGGGGAAAATAGCTTTTGTTTAGCTAAATAAATGAAGGGATATCAACCAGGATGAGAAAGCAGAGCTGGGACATCTGTGAGCGTTCAACAGAAAGTGTCTGATCGCACAACCTGCTCCTCATACCCCCCCCCCCCACCCCCCTCAGAAGCCTTCCAGTGCATCTGATTGCGTCCTCACACTGTTTATCAGATCAAAGCATTCCTTCAGTCGTTATCGTAAAGCTGTTACATCTTCACACGGGCGGTGTTTGAAATTTCCCACGCCTTTCGAAGGGCCTTAGAGGCGGCGGTGGGCACGAGTGTGGCGAGCTCTGCCCCGCGAACGCGCCGACCGGGAGCGTGGGAACGCCGGGAGAGAAGATGGTTGCAGCCGTTAAACCGCGACTGATGACTCTATCAGAACGTGGGGGGGGGGGACAACGGAAGTCTGCACACAGGAAAAAATACGGAGCACATCAAGATCACCGGGGAGGATCAAAGCCTGGAGCCTGTCGGAGCTCCGGCTCGGAATGTTTTCCCACTGCAGAAATGCGGCCTTTGAAAATCGGAATCACGCTTCGTTAAAAAGAGCACATGAAGCAGAACACAAAGGCAACACAAAGGAAACCTCTGGTTCCCGGTGACTCGTGGCACGGCTTTAAGCGGTCGACCCGGTTGCTCGGACTTCGGACGGTGGTCAGGAATGAAGACCGGGAACGGGGAGGAACTCCTTACACCCTCACACGCATTTGCGGACTGAGCCCGAGAATGACCCCAAACTGATTGCGGACGCTTTCACCCGGGATTCGGCACCCGTGACGGCCAGGGGAACGTAAAGGGATCCTGGAGGATTTGTGCATCTCCAGAGCTTCATCATCCTCCTCCTCCCAAGTGCCTAGGACGGTTTTCCACCGGCCCCAAAACGCATCAGAAAAGAAGTCCTTGCGGAACCTTTAAAAATAAGTCTGACTGATCGTCCTATTCGGGCTAATGGGCTCGACTCAGTTGTTTACAACATGGAATTGGCCTTCCAAAAGGTTCTCCTGGCGTGCCAGCGTCTGCCTGCGGACAGTAGGAGAGCGTTTCGCCGGCTTTTACAGGGCTCGCTTGACTATTATTAGACACGAGGGAGCCTCACTTTCCACTTGGTGATGATTAACTGCCGCTAAGTCCTCCATTACGGGACTTCCCGGCCGGACTCGTAACAACTTCTCCTCATCAGAGGGACTTTACGTCGGAGAGCGACACGTTTGCGTGTTGTTTTGATATCCGAACAACGGCGGGTGGAATCTGCCCGTGATGGCTCCCATGTGCAGGAATGCACCGACACATGCGAAGGCCTCGTTATTCCGCGTTACTCCGACCGCACGCTTGTGGCACGGAGCTTCGCTCATTAGCCTCTATTTTTTTGCTTACTGTTTAAAAGGAGGCATTTTTTTCCCCCCCTTTGTTCTGACAAATTGCGAGGCAACGGAGCTTCGAAACACAGAGCGGAGAAGGAAGGGGGGGGCTCCACGGGGGACCACACAATAAGCAGGACTCCGACTTTCTCCCCTTAAATGCCACACGTGCCGTCGACCTTTCCGTCTGAGAGGAGCGGGTGGCGGCATTCCCACCTCGCGAGCTTTGAAGCTCACATTTAGGACAATTTGCAAGTCTCCTCTAAGAGCGCAAACCTTAGAAACCTGAGCCAGGAGCGTTGGAAGAAGCAGCGAGAGCCTAACCAGTCTCCCATAACCCAAGTGGCCGAGAACATTTAATAGTTTTTAATCACCCCGTTTCATCATGCTTCTACCTTACTGTCCCGGAACTAATGGCCGTAGCGTCCACTTGGGGGCAGTATCACTACTAGCACCAGAGGGACAGCATCCTCCACTCTGGGAGCAAAAAGCCGGCACCTAACGTGAACTTTACCGGACGTCTGCTCTTTAAAAGACGAATCGGTTTGTCGAATCGGAGACTCTCCCGAATTGACCCGCGTTCAGAAGCCCGGTGATACGACACCACCCAAAGCAGCCATCGCGTTGGGGAGAGGGGGATAGAGTTCCAGGCCCTCTGACAGCATCACCGAGGACAGGCGGTAGCTGGGGGGCTGATTAAAGCCCCGCAGATTAAAGCCCAGATGGCAGAAAACTCAGCGTTCCTCATTGGACAGGTTTGGAAATGTCGCAACCTCCACCAGGAGGAAATTAGGTCTGGACGCTGCGCTCGGTTTTCTGGCTCGAGCCGACAGGTTTGGGGAATTTTAAGGGACTGGAAGCTGCTTTCCAGCTTCGTGCAGAAATAAATGAACACAGTTGACACTGGGCAGCGACTCTGGAAGTTTGTACTCACTCATACTTCAAGTATTAGTGAGTTATTTATAACTCAAGATGCAACCTCTGTCTTGAAATCAAATCCAATCTTTGAAACACTAAAAAGCCGGACTCGTGTCTTTCACCCATTGGACCAAAACCTCAACACTTGACCAGTAAAAAAGACATAGCTCCTCCACATAAGTTTATCATCCCACACATCCTGTAAAATACAGAATGCCTTCAATGTCCAGCTTAAAATCTA